TGGGGGCCCTGTGTTTATAAACGTTGCTTGGGGCCCTGCGTTTATAAATGTTGCTCGGGGCCCTGCGTTTATAAATGTTGCTCTGGGCCCTGTGTTTATAAATGTTGCTCTGGGCCCTGTGTTTATAAATGTTGCTCGGGGCCGTGTTTATAAAGGTTGCTCTGGGCTCTGTGTTTATAAACGTTGCCCGGGGCACTGCGTTTATTAAACGTTGCCCGGGGCCCTGTGTTTATAAACGTTGCCCGGGGCCCTGTGTTTATAAATGTTGCTCGGGGCCCTGTGTTTATAAACGTTGCTCGGGGCCCTATGTTTATAAACGTTGCTCGGGGTTCTGTGTATATAAACGTTGCTCGGGGCCCTGCGTTTATAAATGTTGCTCTGGGCCCTGTGTTTATAAACATTGCTCGGGACCCTGCGTTTATAAATGTTGCCATGGGCCCTGTGTTTATAAACTCATTTCGGGGAACATTTCCCGCTCTGGGCCCCTCGGGTGCCCTGTGTTTATAAACGTCGCTTGTGGATATAAATGTTGCTCGGGGGCCCTGCGTTTATAAACGTCGCTCGGGGGCCCTTTGAGTTGCATCATTCGGGGGAACATTTCCCGCTCTGGGCCCCTCGGGTTGCCGGGTTCTGATTTTCTTCCTCTTTATGATTTTGTATTTTTTTTCTTCTTGTCGGTTCTTTATTATGATTTTTGTGCCTCATTTCCGGACGCCGCCAAGTTTATCCAGAATGACTGAAAACCAGGAAATGGCAAAAAAAATAATATGGCGGGAGGGGCGGTCCTTTCTTTGTCTCCACCCGCGGCTCTGAGGATCGGCATGACCGGATCATATACGGTCAGATCCAGGAACAACGATGCGTGTGTGAGAAGCCTCTGATGGAAGCAGCCGTTCTTCGCACGCCACATGTCAGGCCAGTGAGTGTGAGCTTCACCGCGGGACAGTTTATAGGATGTCCGCTTGCATTGGGGGCTTTTCCTTCGTGACAGGTTCCCTTTACAGTATGTGTATAGCCCAGGCTTTGGACAGTGTGGGGGAAGGGTCAGCGATGCACCGAAATGTCTACATTTTTCAGGCCGCAAGTGAAACAAAAACTGACTTTTTTATAAACTTTTTTGGAAAACTTGGGGGGCTTCGGGGAAATATTTGGGGGGTCTAAACAGCCCCCCTGATAGTTCCCTTTGAAAATAGAAAAAGAGATTGAGCACACAGAGTCCTCCTCTGTATCCCCGGCACTCATTGAACAGGAAGCTCTCAGTACCGAAGCTTCCTGTTCATTCACAATCTGGAGATAGTAAATATTTACGATGAGCCCAGTCATGAATGAACAGGAAGTGATGTATAGCACTTCCTGTTCATTCATAACCGGGGACACTACGTCCTCGGCTATTTACAAACACTGATCAGTTCTGACCACTCGGTGTTTGCGCTCCGCTCTCCATCCTGACCGCTCCACCCCCCCTCCCGCCTGTCACCGGAGCCGAGCTCTCCTCCCCGCTCGGCATCCTGACAGGCCTCTGGATGGGCTCCTGAAATTTCGGTGCATCCCTAGTTCGAGCCCCTCTCCAGGTTTGTGTTGATTTCGTCTTCTCTATTTGTAGTGTCGCAAGAACAGCAATAGAAGGGAAATCTTCCAGCGGGGACACCGGTTCTGGTGCCAACTGTCTAAGGCAGCAACCACGGAGCTCCAGCTGTGGTGAAACTACAAATTCCACCATCCCTCTGGGAGGCATGCTTGTGACTGTCAGTCTTGCAATGCCTCATGGGACTTGTAGTTGCACAACAGCCGGAGGGCCGAGGTTGCCCACCCCTGATGTAAGGGATTTTTTAATGACTTCCTGTTAGAGAAATCTCTCCAGCCAGCAGCAGATACATGGACGGGGTTCTAACCCTCCCCGGCTCCGTCCGGAACTACAAGAAGGATTTCTGGGATCACTCGGATCTTCTCTGTAGCAGTATTCATGTCTAGTTCAGGGCTTCTCTGTGACAGGTCCTCTTTCCTGGGAGGTCCCGCCAGTGGGGGGCGCTGCCGCCGCTGTCGTCTTTTCTTTCTCATGTTACCAAATAAAGATGAAAAAAACGTTTTATGTCAAATAAATTCTCCATTCGCTTTACTGAACGTCTCCGAATCAAATGTTATTGGTGGAGGTTCTGCCTGCCGAGTGTCACCTGACCAATCACGCTTCCCCATGTCAGAGCTGCCCCCCTGATGGCTGGTGACGGGGGATCTGATGACGGGTGAGGTGATGACGGGGGATCTGATGGCGGGTGACCTGGTGACGGGGGATCTGATGGCAGGTGACGTGATGGCGGGTGACCTGGTGACGGGGGATCTGATGGCGGGTGACGGGATGACGGGGGATCTGATGGCGGGAGACGTGATGACGGGGATCTGATGGCGGGAGACGTGATGACGGGGATCTGATGGCGGGAGACGTGATGACGGGGATCTGATGGCGGGAGACGTGATGACGGGGATCTGATGGCGGGAGACGTGATGACGGGGATCTGATGGCGGGAGACGTGATGACGGGGATCTGATGGCGGGAGACGTGATGACGGGGATCTGATGGCGGGAGACGTGATGACGGGGATCTGATGGCGGGAGACGTGATGACGGGGATCTGATGGCGGGAGACGTGATGACGGGGATCTGATGGCGGGAGACGTGATGACGGGGATCTGATGGCGGGAGACGTGATGACGGGGATCTGATGGCGGGAGACGTGATGACGGGGATCTGATGGCGGGAGACGTGATGACGGGGATCTGATGGCGGGAGACGTGATGACGGGGATCTGATGGCGGGAGACGTGATGACGGGGATCTGATGGCGGGAGACGTGATGACGGGGATCTGATGGCGGGAGACGTGATGACGGGGATCTGATGGCGGGAGACGTGATGACGGGGATCTGATGGCGGGAGACGTGATGACGGGGATCTGATGGCGGGAGACGTGATGACGGGGATCTGATGGCGGGAGACGTGATGACGGGGATCTGATGGCGGGAGACGTGATGACGGGGATCTGATGGCGGGAGACGTGATGACGGGGATCTGATGGCGGGAGACGTGATGACGGGGATCTGATGGCGGGAGACGTGATGACGGGGATCTGATGGCGGGAGACGTGATGACGGGGATCTGATGGCGGGAGACGTGATGACGGGGATCTGATGGCGGGAGACGTGATGACGGGGATCTGATGGCGGGAGACGTGATGACGGGGATCTGATGGCGGGAGACGTGATGACGGGGATCTGATGGCGGGAGACGTGATGACGGGGATCTGATGGCGGGAGACGTGATGACGGGGATCTGATGGCGGGAGACGTGATGACGGGGATCTGATGGCGGGAGACGTGATGACGGGGATCTGATGGCGGGAGACGTGATGACGGGGATCTGATGGCGGGAGACGTGATGACGGGGATCTGATGGCGGGAGACGTGATGACGGGGATCTGATGGCGGGAGACGTGATGACGGGGATCTGATGGCGGGAGACGTGATGA